AGTGGGTCTTTGTTTCACGCGATAAATGATGACGTTGCAACACTTATCTCTCTATACGCCATCGTGGATACCAGTGGATCCATGACGCCTTTGTTCCTGAACCAGTTGCATAGCATTTCCCACGAAAGTACTTAGTACTTTGTTTCTAAGGTTAACCAGTTTCATGGCCGTTTGGCAATACTGAGTTGAGGCAAAGCAGAATGTTATAACATTGAGTGGAGCAAGTCATAGTCCTCATACCTGTAATGCTGATTCCTTGCAGTACACATAAAAGTACAATTATAAATAACATTTTTTTTTTTTGTAGTCGTCTAACATTTCAAAACTTTTCCCTAACCCTATATTTTTTGATTACGGTCAGTTAACAAAAGGCACCTTGGGCCTGCTCCCTCATCGCCGAGCACCATGCAACGCTCTTCTCCGTTCGCTGTGCCGAATACTGGAGCTCCTCAGTCCAGTAGCGCCAGTATCAGCAACTTGCTTTGGACGCCGCCACCTCTGAACGTCTCAAAGGCCGCCAAGTCGGAAGGTGGGACGCGACACAAACAACTGAATCCAGAGCTGCGTACTCGAACGTATTATCGACGCAAGGTACACATTTCCAATACCGACAACATTTGAAGACTATGAGGCCATATGTATGAACGTTGATTGAATTTTTATCGTCGTAGGAAGAGAAGGAGATGCTGGAGAAGAAGTTGCAGGCGATGAACATTCAGTTGGAGCATTTGAGACGTCGTAATCAGTCTCGAGATGGGAATGATGAAGTTGTGACTCGATTGAGGCAAAACCAGGAGCTGCGGGACTCTATTCGTGGACAAAGGATCGTATTCGCCAACACGCAGTCTATTATTTCAGAATTTCTGGTACGTAGCTAGCTGTAGTACTGGAGGTACGTGACACTAATTTTGTGTGGGTGTTAAACTAAAGAGAGCTGAGGATCATAGTCGCTATGAGCCTGTTATTCGACTGGGAACAGACCCGCGAGACCGATACAACACACTGCTGTCAATGAAACAGCAGCGTCTAGAAGAAGCCTTCTACTTTTTAGCTGAGCGGTCACGGTACATGGCCATCGACACAGAATTCACCGATCTGCAGCGATTCCAGTCCGACAACGGAGACGTGTGCTTAGCACGCTTCGATATCAAGCCACTGCCAAAAGCTCAAACCGTCAGGCAGGCGTTCGACGGCGTACTAAAGTTTTCGTACAATCTGGAAATCAGTATTTCCGATCTCATAGGCGACATTACTATCCGCGAAAATGACGACGAAGACTGGGACAGCTCAGTGGCTCAACATCGCCTGGTGACGTCAATTTCTCCGAATGTGAAGGTGGACATGAACAATGTGACGTTCACTCAGTACTGGGACGATGGCTCGGGGCCTCGTACCGACAGAACGATTGGCGATGAAGTGGGTATCGCAGTGTGCAACTACGTCGAAGAAGACGAGTTGTATCCGTATCACGTTACTGAGCGTGTGCGTCAAGATATTACGTTTCACGTCATGGTTGCTAAATATCCGCGGCGTCGGCCAAATCTGTCTGCAACTGCTGGTTCTCCAAATAGTGAGTGTGGGTCCTCTGCTAGCTATGAAACACAAGAGGACGTGGTGGTGGCAACGAGGTGGACATGTCTGCGCCTTCGGAAGCCTCCGTTCCCGCTGGACGATGACATTGCTGCGCATATCCGAGACGGAATGGAGCAAGTGGGTCAGTCGATGTTCACTGCAATTCGCCACTCGGTCAGTGGTCGACTAATGACTAGAAAAGGAATGTAGCGACTAGCAGCACGTGTATACAGTAAGAGACCGGAAGAAAGAAAAAAAAAGTTAAGACAGCAAGTTTGAGGTTTTGCGTACAATTTGTATTACCGCAACAACGTGAAGGCTTACTAGCTTTTTCAGCCGATAATCACAATGACTT